TGTTTCTTGTATGTTGGCTTATGGTTTTTCATCCAAATGAAGTTCGGGAGCGAGCGAGTGGCGGATAGCGTTTTGGGACGTGTGTAATCCAATAATAAGATCCAAGATACGAGAGGTTTGCTGACCATAGGCCTTACCACCAGGAAATCTCTTAAGACGGTTCTATTCGCTGCAGAAGTTTTACCTAACTGTAGCCTATGTAGATTTCTGATTTTCTGATTTAAAACCCGAAAGTAATTGAGGAGCAACCTTACTGCTAGTTGTCGCTCCTGCGAACAACAATTAATAGGTTTCATGCCAGACATACAGGATTAGGTTGCTGCCTAAAATACCTTCAGCCCACCTTACAAACACTACAAGGAATTTAGTATACGAAATCTTATCATTTAGCTTATCATATACAGACGATAATTTTCCTGAGAGCATAACTCCCAAGCGACAAGCTATTTAGTGGAATAAGGGAGACTGGGATACATAACGTCGTGGTGTAAACACATTCAAGAACGAGATACCAAATGCAAAGAAGTTTTTGAGGGTCTATATTATCACGGAAGATAAGGTAACTGGAGCAATTCGATCCTACTAATCGTACAAACTCCTTGGCCTCCAATCTTTAGCTGACAGAAGGTTGTTGTTGTTGTTGTAGTGGCTATAACAACCCCGCCTAGATCGGCTAATATCTCAGTCATTGTCGTCAAGCTCAACTAACCCAAGAAGCGTACAGCCTCTATAAGGTCTGTCTACAAGGACAGCGGCATCTGTTGTATGTGGTTTTCCAAGCACACGAAGAGATGTTTCGAGTTGTGGGGTGTCTCTCCACATGCCGGACACTCATTTGGCACATCTGCGTCTAATCTGCTTAGGTATGAGTCCATATATTTGCATACAATATTCTATCTGCCCAGAGATATCTAATCTTTTTCAAATTTAGGAATCTAATATTAATCTCAGAAATCTTAAAATGTTCGTTGAAGGTTGTTGTTGTTGTTGTTGTAGCAGCATACAAAGTCCCCAAAGACTTTTTGGGGAGTGTTGCTGGAGTGACAGTCCTTGGCCAGATATAAATCTGGGTCATTCCGGTTACCTAGACCCGACTGTCGTGGGAACGTTCGTTGAAGGTTCGCATAAGTCACTATAGTCGTACAACGAACCGATAGCGAGAGTTTAACTCAAACTTTATTCAGAGGTCAAGATTTGTATGAAACGAAAAAAAAGGTTGGTTCAATAAAAAAAATAATCCGGTTTATTCAATATGCGAAAAATCAAGATTTCAAAAAACCGCCTATAGATGTCCAAAAAAAAAAAAACGGTGGAAACCGGTTTGGAACAACCGAGTCTATCACTTTATTAGCTGTACTTTTGTTTAAGCGCATTATTTTTCCATTGTATTCTTTCTATGCTGTGCTCAATACAACTTTTGTATTTTTAAATATTTGAAGGCATATGTATGTACATACATATTTACATATATAATTTGCCATACATTTGTAGTTTATTTATTTGACCATTCTTTTAGAAATTTAAATTCTTTCTTTCAAGTTTACACGAAAGCATAGGTAAATAAGAATATGTGAATGCATTTACATTTATATGTGCATACATACATACATAAGAATGTATGAAGAAATGAAACTGCATCTCTTTTCATAAAGCAGTTTACCCACGCATTCCACGGATATGCTCGCCATGACATGCGGCGCGTTAATTCAATCCAGTCCAATAGCCTGCACCGTCAACTTCCAATACCTACACACTCAATACTGGTATTCATCCATACATACTTAGTACAATTTGTACTTAGTAAAAACATGAACTTGCATACATACATACGCACATACAAAGTGCATTCAAGCCCAAAATATGCATTCAAGGGCTACAAAACAAATTCAAAATACATACTTACATTAGACTGCATCACGAAAAGAAGTTGCGGTTTTTCCAATACGTCCACCAAAGTATTTTGTAAAAATATTAAGATTTACGAGAGCTGTACCGATTTGAAAATACCCCAAAGAATTTAGTTTTTTTATGAATAAAAATAGTTTCTCTGAGTATTTTTTGCAAAAACACACCTCGGATGAAAAAACAGTTGAAGCTTAAAAATCCTGCATAGAAATATTTAATAATGAGGTTTTTGATGCTGTTTTTTAAGATTGTTTTAAGAAAAACTTAAATAACTTGGCCAGAAATATACCGATTTGGACTTATGATGTATCATTGGTAAGGTATTTTCTCACCCTTTTTATTTATTTGCAAATAAACTCATTCAAAGTATGAAAGAGAAAGCTAAGATGAACGAGCGTCATTACAAGTTGAATTAGGATGTATTGATATTTTGAATTAGTCTATTTGTAAAGAAATAAAAAAGGCGAGAAAATACCTTTCTAATGATACCTCATAAATATAAATCGGTAAAGTTTTGGCTGTTATTTAAATTTTTATTTTTTTTTTTTTAGGTCCAGCTCACCTAAATCTTAATATTTTTGCGCAGGTCGTTAATTAAAATAGGTTTTTTTAATTTTGCTGAAAAACAGTATGTACTGATTTTTTTTATTTTTTTGTGGGGAGTGATGCAGTCTAATGTACATATGTACATACATATCACAAACATAGGTACGCCACCACAAAACAAACTTTGACGAAAGAGTGGAACAAAAAAAAAATACCCTAAAAGACGAACACAAGTCAAGTGTTGACTGTCCCTTAAGCATTCCAATTGGTCTGGAGTTGGTGGCCCACTGAAGCGGTGAGTGGTACTTAAATTTCGTTGAATTTTTATCGCAACGCAAAAACAAAATGACACCAGTGACAACCAGCGTAATTGTCTTCATTTCTGTGGTTTTGTTTATTTATCTGTGTTATTGTTTACACATGGTTTTTATTTTTATTTTTGTAAGATAAGAACTTTTTTGTTTTTACTGTAATTAGTCGCATTATTTACTTTTTGATATACGAGTATTATTTATGTATGTATATACGTATGAGCTTTTACGTTTTTTTTTTATTGAATAGCTAAACTGCGTTGAACGGACAACTTAGCGCACATGCGATTGATGACTTCGTGGAAGCATTTACAAATGCAAACCGTGTGCACGGTTGCCACTTGTATCACAATATACAAGTAAAAAGGCTTAAAATTAAATAAAATAAACCATTTTTTGCCGGCCAACAAAATTATGTACAATGACTCAAACAAGTGATCACGTGTTGATTTTTCTTTTTTATATTCGTAATGTTTTTCGAACACTTTTTTTTGTTATTTTTCTATAAAAATACCGTCCATGCTTTAACCGCATGTTTCAAACTTTATACAAAATTTAGGCAAATTCAACAAATATTCATCAAAATTTAAATTTGTAATCTGAATCTTGAGAGCTTTTTGGGTATGCAGTTTTATAGCCCATACAATTTTAGTCTAATAAAGTGCAGGTTTCAACCGCCAAAAAAATCGCGTAAGTTTTTGAGAATATTTTTTTTTTTGTTACGGATTTGTGTACTTTTTTCTGTACAAGCGTGAATTTCTTATGAAATAAATGCGGGAGACCGTAAGCAATAAAATTTAAAAAAATCAACGCCAGTTTTTATAAAATGCACATGTTACATAAAAACAACACCGCAAAAGCAGCCTCCAAACAAAAATTCTCAAAAATCAACGCGATTTTTTAGGCGGTTAAAACTTGAATTTCATTTGAATATAATAGTATAAAACTGCATACCCAAATATGTTCTAAAGATTCAGATCAAAAAGTTGAAATTCTGATGAAAATTTGTACAACTTTCCTAAATTTTGTATAAAGTTTGAAACTATGGGTGCTGCTTATTCAAACGAATGTTGCTTCAAAATGGCCCAAAACAAACAAAAAAGCACAAACAACCAAAAAAGGCCCATATTTTGTACAATTGTACCAAAGTGGCAACCGTGACCGTGTTTATAGTGGAATTTGAGAAGTAAAGAGGATTGGTTATATGAAATCATTTTTCGAAGATTATAAAAAAGGGCATAAGTACAGAATACGGGCCGTTAAACTAGAAAGAAAAACAAAGAAGTGGACGTGGTCCGCCCTATTTTTCTGGTTTTAATGGTACACCAATTTTTTGGTGCAAACTTATATTTTTGGGGGCTAAGGAGGGGCGAATGTGAAATTTTCTAAAAACGGGCCGTATTCTGCACTTGGCGCTTTTTTCTGATTCTAATAGTACTTATACAATTTTTTTGGTGCAAACTTATATTGTAGGTGCTATGGATAGACACAGGGGGAACTTTCGAAAAAACATACCGTATGGTGCGCTTGTTCAGAAAATAGTGCAGGCGTTGTTATGTATTATAGGACCGTAGTGAAATAGTTAGCCACCTAGCACCCAGCCAAGGATTGTCGCCCCAGCAGTATGTTTAGAACTGCTTTTGCGGAAGTTCTATGGTGTTACACTAATACAGGCGGGACTTCCAGGGTCGGTTTATCTATCAATCGTGGTCGTCAAGCTCAACCAACGGTAGGCACAAGCAACCATGTGAAGGGGTGGTTGGGGATATCGGGCTCGACTCCGGACCAGTAGCTGTTAGGGGCGTGCAATATCCTGACCGAAATTGGGCCAGAATAACAAGGGTCTCTCTTGGCAGGTACTCGTCGGTAAACTGTTGGAATTTTCTAAAATATCTCTTTGTGCATTATGAAAGTTTTATCTATAATATTTAACTGAAACACATACATATGTACATATGTACATTGTGGCTCATAATTCAATAATCACTGAATCATGACATTGGCTGCCGGGTCCTAAGAGAAAAAATGAAACGGAAAATTAATTCAAAAACATGTGTCTCGGAATTCGAGTTTAAATGGACGTAACTATGTATTTTAACATTGACTACGTCCATTTAAATTCGTATTTATTTTTACCAGTTACGGCCTTTTTCTGAGGACCAGTTGATACATATGTTCATGTCTATGTACATAAATAAAGATTTCAATTGAAAAACCAACATTTAAGTGGGTACTCACTTTGCGAATCATGGAACTAAATGCCAATTTGCTTTTGTTTTTAGGCGCGTGCAGGAGCAGATGTAAGGCTTTTGGTTATTTTGCTGACTCCTTTAACATTTTCATTGTGCGTTCCACTGCTACACTTGTAACCTTAAGTAACACTTGTTTTAGCCCTAGCAATTGGTGGCTGTTTCATTAAATTCTCAGCATCAGTGCGAAGATTTTGTAAAAAATAAGAGGCTCAAAGTCTTAACACCAATGAGGTGGGATTTTTTGCTTTTGTTTTCACATTTTTTTACTAAATACCTGTCTACTCGTATTTTAGCGGAGCGCTGTTACGCCTTACCACTCAAGATTGATATTGTATTCATACACTTTAATAAATATTTTAATACTGTGTTCCGATACATGCATTTCTATGCAAATATATTTTCTATAAATATTAGTGTCAAAATTATATTTATCTTTTTTATTTTATAGATTATATTTGAATTAACATGTACATAAATATATAGTAGATGTACATATCTATGTATGCAAGTTGGTATTGTTCGTATGTATTTGCGCTTGCAATCATTCATATGTAACGATAGCAAATGTAATGATTTCCCCCCGTTTTCCATTGACCTTGGCCGCTTTTGGTCCCATAAAATTTTGAATAGCTATGCACATGTGCACATATGACGCTGCAATCTGATTGATTGATCTCGTTATTCGTTTGGAAAGTAATCAACATTTTTGTAAGGAACGCAAAAACGGATAGTGCATTAAAACAAAAAAATATATAATAAATAAAAGTATATAGCAGCACATACATATACGATATTTACATACAGCATTTGCTATTTCATGAATGCAACTTTCACTTTTCTTCGGATGCACTCTCGCTGCCGACATTTCCTCACCACCCACACATAACGGCGCCGTCACTAAGCCGGTGCTCTGCACTTTACAAGCGATATTATAAAATTTAATTTACTTATTATTAATTGACAAATTTACGCTAGTAGCGTGGGTTATCTCGCAAGGTTCAATGTGTTGTCTACCTGTAAAGGTGCGCTTCACATTTTGATTTGGTAATGGGGCCCAGACAGTTGTAGGTAGCTGCGTCGCGGTAGGAGATAGACCGAACCGAAGAGTTCATTGCGTAAATACAACTTTTTATTGAATTTGCAATAAAACTTTGCAACACCTGACATTTGTGCAATTAGATGTGATGTAGAATGCGTTTTCTTCTTTGCTTCGTTGTCTTTTGTCTGGTGAAAAAAGGATTAGCAGAAGGTGCACTTATTACGAAAACTGGTTTGCCCGGGACAAGAAATTTTGTACGATAATATGCGGAGACAATTATTCGCTTTTTTCAACTGTTTTGCTTAATTCCTACATTTTCCCCGATTTTTAATTTACTCCGAAACACCGATGTTGTTTTTCCGCAAAATAAACTTAACTTTACGCACACGAATTGTTGAATGAAATAAAATTGCATGAACAAGAAACAAAATGACAAGAGAAAAGAGAAACAAGAACAAACAAGAAAGCAAAACAAAACAAAAACGTCAAACTTGCTGGAATTTTTCTGGAATGTACAGGGTGATAAACGCCTTTTCAAGACATTCGAATCGGGAATCGGTTAAGGTTTTTTCACTTGATTGGCGACATCTATATCTGAAGTTGCATTGGAGCCGTAGAAATGGGAAATGTTGGAAAATCTGTTGATTATTCATTATTTCATTATTAGTTATAATATTATTTATTTCTATTTAAATAGTTTACACATTTTTTCTACTCATGGGATCTCCCTTTCATTTAAATTTACGATTTTGTAAAATTTTTTCTGATTTTCGCGCTGGCATCACCGTCCTACACAGCGACACCTGTCAATTAAGTGACAGCTATTTGTTTTGATTTCATCTTCTTTTGCAACAATTTAGAGGAGCTTTATTTTAAAGCTAATTTCAAAGTAAACAAAATGATAGCCACCACAAGTAATGCTGCTGCATCTGCTTCAGGAATACCAGATAAGGCATGGCAGCCACACTTTGTAACGCTTGAAACGACGTAAGTATACTTGCTTTGTAGCTTCTTTAACACTATCTACATCTCGTTCATTTGTACAGCATGGGCGAAATTACTGTCGAGCTTTATTGGAAACATGCGCCCAACACTTGTCGGAATTTCGCAGAGCTATCGCGCCGTGGTTACTATAACAACGTGGTTTTCCATCGGATCATTCGCGACTTCATGATTCAAGGTGGAGACCCAACCGGTACAGGTCGTGGCGGTACTTCAATTTATGGCAGTGAATTCCCCGACGAAATTCACCCAGATCTCAAACATACCGGCGCAGGCATTTTATCAATGGCTAACTCTGGTCCAGACACCAATGGTTCACAATTCTTCATAACACTAGCACCCACACAGTGGTTGGACGGAAAACATACGATTTTTGGACGGGTTTATTCGGGAATGCAGGTGGTGAAGCGCATTGGCCTGGCTGAGACAGATAAAAATGATAGACCTGTAGATAGCGTGCGCATAGTAAAAGCAAAAGTAGAAAAGTACTGAGTGTCCATGCAACATCCTTTATTCTAGGCGTAAAACAATAATTATAATAAATAGCAAAATTATTTTGCTTGATTTTAATACTATTTAGAACGATTTTGTGATTAAATGAGGGGGGCAGGCGGGATTAGGTAGAGTACCGTTTACCACCAATGGTTGATCCTACATAGTGCCATCGAGCATATCTACTAGGCGCTTTATTTCCCGGCTAAAAATACGGTAAGAGTAGAATTTTTATAGTAACTTACAACTTCTAGACTTACATTCGTTGGCCTAACTGCTCGGTTGGCTTCATCGACTTTGTGATTTCCTCTGTCTTTGCCATTATAGTATACATACATTTGATATTAGCATCCATACTATCGGTTAGTTTATTTACTGCATTTTTATGCACCTCTACGTTATCTGCTGTTATTGAAGATATCTAAAAGAAGTGATTTTCAATTAAAAATCAACGTAGGAGTAAGTTAAAAAGGTATTCCCACAGAATGCAGCAAATTGCATAGATTCTCCATTAAATTGTCCACTGAAGCAGCCAAGTATTGTGCCTCGATCTCAATGTCACTTAGGACATTTGCATCAATTTGAGGTCGCTGCGTTTGCAAGAAGCGTCGTGTTAGCAAACCACCGCTCAAATTCGCCCCAGAGGGCGTGCTATTGTGCGAAGCATAACTCAGTTGATCTATAAAACGAAATAGATGCAAAGTTAATGTTACAGTACAATCGAATTTTTATAACTACCATTTCGTATTTTTTCCTCTAGATTATCAGCCACAAAGTGTCGCATTTGTCCATCTGCACTAGTAGCACCTTCCAGCTCATAAGGGAAAGCTAGCACAAAGACCGCTTTAAAAAAATCAAGAAGTAAATTTAGAAGCCTTACTCGAATCACAATGTAATGAGTTGGGTCGTCTTGGCGTCTTACTATCCTCGTACGAGCTATCTTTCGAATTGGAATTATCTTCGTCTTCGTCATCATCCACATAATGTTCTTCTATGCTACTTTCCCCTTCTATTTTCTCTGCCGTCCTGGTTGTCGCCATTACATCAGCCGCGCTAGCATCCATATCAGGATATCGTGCCAAGAAAGGAATTTCACTGTACGATGAAGCTTCCATTGTGCTAGATGAAGCCTTCCTAGTCTTTTGCTTTGTCCTTTCTACTTCGCTATCGTTCTCGTCGTTAGTTAATTCTGGTATGCCATAGCGTGGTCGTATTGGAATGTCTTGACTTTTACGGGACATTTCCGTAATAAAATATAGTTGGTATTTTTATGACTGCATCCGAATTGTGCGAATTGTATACATTGATAAGCAAAAGGAAAAAAAAACAAAGAAATATCAGCTGATATCTGCATTGTTGCCAACTTCGTGCTTTTCGCACTAAATTTGGTGATTTTCTTAATTCAAAACGCGAAAATTTTTGAGTTTGGTGCTTGTTAATTATTTATTAATTTGAATTGGCATACCGACAATAAAATTTTGTATGCCCACAAAGTCCATTAAATCCTCCAATAAAAAAAAGGTGGTGCTTTTTTCGAGAAAAAGGTGATTTTTCTTGGGATTTAGTGTTTTTTCAAATTCAAAAATTGGCAACACTTGATATCTGGGTGCATTGGGTTAACCCGTCAAAGGCACAAAGAAAGAAATTTATATAGATAAGTTGCGAAATTTGTAGAGGTCACATATGGAATTGTGGTAAGGCATGCATATTATCAGATGTTGATAAAGAGTGGATTAATAAAAATCACAGAATCGTTAGGCACAAGTGCAGAAAAGGGCCGGTTTTCGAAAATGCCCCCTTTGACACTCCATAGCACCTGCAATATAGGTTTACCCCAAATAAATTTTATACCATTAAAATCAGATAAAAGGGGCGAACCGCGCCCACTTTTTAGTTTTTTCCAGCTTAACTAGTTGTATTCTGCACCTAAGCTCGTAAGCGCACAAGTGCAGAATAGGGCCGGTTTTTCGAAAATTCCTTATTTGCCTCTCCATAGCCCCGTATATATAAGTTTGCCCAAAAAAAAAAATATATACCATTCAAATCAGAAAAAAAGGGCAAACCACGACCACTTCTTCGTTTATTTTTTCCAGCTCAACGTGCCGTATTCTGCACTTATGCCAATCGTTATCACTATTTTGAAAATAATTATTAACTTTAAATCTAGCTTGCATTTTCTTCAGTGTAGTACATTCAATGAACTTAGCTGAGGTTGATTGTTTGATTTTTGTCGCCGAAATGAGTACAACCGAATTGTACCTGAGACGACACTAGTCTGGGAAAAGAGAACCGCATCAGTTCAATAGGAGAAACTAACGAGTGTAAGCGGGAGCACCAGCTTGATGAGGAAGTTTGTGGCCATTGTTGCTGGCACTTGGTAGGGTTATGTGCAGCCGTGTTAGTAGTAACTAGTTTTTTGGCACATTTATCCGCCAATATACGAAGTCAAGAGTTTCTCTTAATATTTACAAAGAAGATAATTATTTAAAAATGCGCAACTGTTTATTTGATAAAATGTGTTAATTTTTTGTACGAAATTATATGCAAGGCCTGACTTAATGTGCAATCTCGATCAGACAAATTATCTATTTTTGATACTTTTTAAATGCATCACTGTGCTGGTGTCCTGAATTTTTCACAGTTTTGTCGAATCGTCGTTGAGTGTTGGTGAACGTGTCGCGTGTACGCGTTTGCGAGAAATTCAGTGAAGCAAAGTTTAGTTTATTTTAATAAAAAAATAGTGTATAGAAAATATTGCCAAAAAAAGAAACTATACCAACTGTATATACATTTAGATTCACACGAATATACTCAAAAATAATTTGTAAGTGCGAATATAATACGAAAATGTTCGTATAATTGCAATTTCGTAACCTAGCCGCAAATAGTTCTCGATCGTTGGCTAGTTGTATGTATGTAGTGGGCAAAGCTTTCACATTGTAGAAAACTATAATTACTTTGCAATAATTCAGTGGATCACTTTTAAATTATGCTAAAATACAAGTAGATAAGATGTCAAATATTGACCATAATTGAAGTTACTTAATACGCTAAAAGGCAGCGAAGACGAAAAATACACCGAATAGCAGCAGCTGCAGTCGTGGGAGCAATTTGATACCATAAACGTCAGACTACTCGTAAAGGAATAGCGGTGTGAAAGTGTAAAATGTAGTTGGGTTAGAGAAAAAGTAAAATAAATAGCCAGAAAAACAGCGAATAAAGGTTTTCGGATGCTTCACAGACCAATTTTGGCACAACATCAGACGCCGTCGCGCCGCCCAAGTTTCGAGAAAGTGTAGCACATCAAGGCAGAGCAGCCCCATTTTCGTAAAGTGATGAAAATTGTGGACAGGCCAGCAATGTGTACGTATACTCAACCGCAGTTATATACTTATTTAACCCCGCTTTTTCCGGTTAACCAACTACCCATTCAAACCATTGACACTAACTTTTACAGGGTGTGTCTATTAAAAAGTGGTAAAAGTTCACTTTAGGGGAACCTGCCCAAAACTCATCCAAAAAAAGTCGTGAGGGGTGTCCAATCAACGCGTTTTTATGCTAATAATAATACTTCGGAAACGGATATTAACTTTTTTAATTAACTCGAAAGTTATTTGCAAAAAAACACACTTTGCGTACTTTATTATGGATGAATTTCACGCAAATGAATGGGGCAAACTTTAATATAAGAACCTCCGATTGTAGGGGTTCTGGAGACCCCTTTTATAAAAATATTTATTTATTTATTTATTACGGTCGTATGACCTATATGCATATAAACATATATAACAATTATGTATTACAAATCCACATTTATACATTAAAAGCACATATAGCGTAATGTTAGTTTTCTTTTACAGCTTTTAAAATTTTTATTTTAATCTAGATGGTAATATAGCTTATGTATGTATAACTATCTACAGATATATGTAAATATCTAATAGCATCATTTTAACCCTGGAAGTGCTTCGCCATATTGATTCTAAAGGTGAATACCCAACCCTGTGCACTCTTATAGTTTTCAAGTAATTTGTTGTAAAAGTTGCGAAATTCACCAAATATGTTGATGCAAATTTCATCACCCAATAGTGTTTGAAATACGTGTTTTTGTTGTAAATTTGTTGTGGAAAGAAAAAATTTGTAGCTCTTATTTGTTTTGAAATATGGTATGTAGTGCTAACTTGACACCGTACACCTAGTCGATAGAATTGAGATATTGTAAAGGTCACAACAGCATTATTTTTTGCTTTTTTGTTGTAAATTTGTTGTGCAATGGTATGTAGTGCTAACTACAAATTTTTTCTTTCCCCAACAAATTTACAGCAAAAAGCTACAATTAATGCCGTTATAACCAGGGTACGAAAATATAAACTATATTGTACGTTACTATTTCGTTTCGTTTATTACTTCAACAGTTCGGTACAATACGAAAACAAAACGGCTGAGTTCACTTTGGCGATAGTACACTACAGTAGTTTAGTAGTTACAGACGAAACAACAAACGAAATGATTCGTGCAGAGAAAAATATTAGTCTGTTCCTTTGAACTTCGGACTAAAACCTGTGAAACTGTCAAACTACAATTTTACTCTCTCAAGTGAGAGTAAAAGTAGAGCAGATGCAGAAGTGCACGGGAAAGCAAAAAGCACTATTTCCTGTAAAAACGTCAGTCGGTTTGGTTACATGTCATTGGTACAACACTGATTTGGCTGAAATATCACTAAATAATTATTAAAATCTATACATATTCAAACGTTTCGTTGTTTACTTCCATTTTTTTTACAAATATAAGATACTTTGCTTTCACCGCTTTCGGTTTTTGTTTGCACATGCAAATCAGCTGATCGTTTGACACTTTTCATGAACTTACAGGAAAAAAAACTCCGGACTAAATCCTGTAACTTCTGACTAGGAACAGTTGCTCAGTTACTATTTCAAAAGTGTTCCCACTTACAGGTTTTATGTCAATAGGAACGACTTCTTGTAAGTTCTGACTAAAACCTGTAAACCGGACTCCTATTGGAACAGACTATATATGTATGTATGTACACATATGCAATAACTAAACACAAAATGAATAGCTGCAATGAATAAAAAAATAAAAATGTTTTTTAATTGAATTGGATATGAAAATTTACAGAAAAAATATTTCTCACTTAATTGAAACGTTTGTGATATCACCCTATGGTACAATTGTCACAAACGAAAAGCAAACGTTTCTCGTTGGGGAATTTGACAGTGAATCTTACAACTTGTTTCTGACTATGTACAAAACTGTACAAAACCACAAATGATATAATGATCGATTAGCAAATGGGAATTGTTTTGTACAGTTTATTTTCGTATTCTGGTTATAATATCCAACCACCAATAACCATTTGACAACTAAATATTATGTAAACGCAAGGTAAGCAAGTAAGAAAACTTGAATACTAATAATCAGGGAACGGATTTTTGGGAGCTAAAAACCTATAAAAAAGGCAAAATAAAATAACGAAAAAGGCTGGAAAAGGCAAAATAAAAAAGCGAAAAAGGCAAGAAAAGGCACTAGGTATTGCAAAAAGGCAAAAAAAGGCAAAACAAAATAGCGAAAAAGTTCCTGCACTAGGTATTGCAAAAAAGCAAAATAAGATACTAAAAAAGACAGAAAATACGAAGAACAATCAAAAAATACATTTATTTTAGAAATGTTTATATTACAAGTAAAAAGAGAAAAACTATGAACTAGTTTCATTATATGAAAAATTTGTACTTTGAATCTTTGACTATTTTATCCTTTCGAGTTTCTAACTCATAAAACTTTATCTGCATAGTTGTCGTAAAATTGAACCACAAGATGCATTTTGAAGATTTCTGGCAGCATTTTCATTCGATTTTCGCGATGAAAAGCCTTGAATGTATGTACTAAATATGCGCTCGACAAGTGGAGCCCAATTTAAATATAGAACGTTTGAAACGTTCATATTATCAGGAATAAGGGCGTTTTCCTCGCCTTTTACAATTTTATCCACACCCCTTATTGTCTCCAAGCCTATGTTAGCTGAGAAAACGGTTTTGCATTTTTCCAACACCATTTTGGTAAGAGGTCCCTGCGCTCCTATAAGCCGCATGGGCATGTGTATATTTTTTAATCTTAAAAAAAAAATTGTAAATGCTATAATCACTTTTTTAAAGGTAGAAAAGGCTAAAAAAAACACATATCTTAAAAAAAAGGCAACATGAAATGTTTATATATGGAATCAAGGAAAGCTAAATCTTGGACATTCTTAATCGAATATACTCTATCTCTTTAGCAGAAAAAAAGGCAATTTCCATAAAATCCGTTCCCTGCTAATAATCTTAAAAACTACAATTCTGCTTTCTGGGTTGCCGCACCTAGAAATGGGTATTTTTGAAAAGGGGTGGTCTCCAGCTTTAAAACGGTACCAATGTTAACCCTAAAATCGGAGGTCTTTAGATTGAGGTTTGCTCAAAAAAAGATAACTCCGAGTACAAGGCAATTTTTACCGGAGATCCACTATTAAATATACTGTTATTCGCGGTAAAAAATTACCTTGGTCCGCGGTAAAATATGCCACGGCGCGTGTGAATATCCACTGCCTAAATTTAAACGGTTCTTAAAAAAAAAGATGTAACCAACGAAATATTTGAAGACGTACATAAGTAATAATTCTTAATGGAATGGATTTTAATAATTGTTGAATTATCCTTCAGTCAAATCAGTGTTGTACTAATGACATGTAGACAAACCGATTGACGTTTTGCTGAAAAAAGGGCTTTTTGCGTTTCCAATTATTAATTGTAATTTTGCGTTACCCAATTGTAGTTGCTCATCCGTTACTTTCACTTGACCGGCCGTTTTCGACTGCTTAAAAATCTCGCTTGCGCTCTCCTTTTTTCTGGCAAGGGAGAGAGAGGAGGCATACTTTTTCATTTGTAAAATGTCGGCAAAGAAGAAGGTTCGAGCTTTGAAGGCTAAGGGCCAGTTACTCAATGTCTGGTTAACACTAATCTCCGGTTAAACATTGTTATCGACGTATTCGACTCCATTCAGTAACAGGGAGTCGGTAACGTCTATAACGATGTTTAACCAGAGATTAGAGTTAACCAGACATTGAGTAACCGGCCTTACATTTTTATTTGCACCAAAATAAAAGATGTTGCTACACTGAATAATTCTGCGAAATGAAAAAATAGCTTTCAAATAACAAAAATGACAGTTTAAAGCACTGATGGGAACTGCCTTGCCTGCGGGCAAAGCTCTTTTAAGCTCTCTATATAATTCGTATAGGCCAGCGATGGGCAGAGAGAGCTTTTACTCTGCATGCGCCTATACAAAATGTATAGAGAGCTTAAAAGAGCTTTGCCCGCGAGCAAGGCAGCGCCCATCAGTGTTTTAGGCGCGTGCAGATTAAAAGCTCTTTATGCCCATCGCTGGATTAAGATAGATAGATAGTTGGTTTAAGGTAAGCGAGAGCTCGCAAACCGCTCGGTATGCGATAAAAAGCATGCTTCGTACTTTTTATTGCCTACACGTGCAGGATCTTGCATGCGTCGTCACGCAAGCGAAATTTTCCAGCACGTGCAGACGGCCGGTGAGAGTATAGTGAAAAAAGTACTTTTTCCTGCAAAAACGCCAGTCGGTTTCTTTACATTTCAGGTACAACACTAATTTGGCGGAGAGATCAGTAAATCGTCGATCTTTTTGCAAAACCGCCCATCGACCAGTTGCAAACCCGCCCAAATCGCCGTTGTGGCATAAATGAGATTTGGTAACCCTGAGCTCCAACAGATTTGTAAAACAATGAATAGGGAAAATAACGCCTATCAAGGCAATGCCTTTAAAGCAAAAACAGTTCTTTTCGCTCTCCTGGAAAATTTGAGTGTCGTAAGATAGGCGGTTTTGGAATTGGTCGATGGGCGGTTTTGCAAAAACATCGCCGAAATGATTATTAAAATCTATACAATTGGATAATTGCGTACACATTCAAATACATTGTTTTTTTTTTAAATAAATGTAAGGTTCTTTGCCTTCACCGCATTCTGTTTTTGTATAAAATGCAACCCTGCCTATCGTTTGACACTTTTCATGAACTTTCAGGAAGAAAAACCTCGGCCAAATCTTGTAAATTCTGACTGGGAATAGTTGATCTCTTACTTTCTCAAAAATTTTCACAGTGACAGAAACTCCTATGTACGGGAACGACTTCCTGTAATTTCAAACCAGGTATTTCTTAGAGCGCAGTTATTTACTTGCTGTCTCCACATGCAAAAGTTTTTATCTTGATAATGTTATCCGGCAATATTTTGCCAATGGAGACCGAAAACTTCGTGGCCGCAACATTATTGACACTTAAATATAAA